TATATATATATATGCATGCATACTATTGTTTTCTTAACATACCTGACAGTTCTGAAATGGCTCCTAATTTTGTTTGTGATAAACGTTTCGCTCTATCTGATGGTTTTGCTCGTCTGGGTCCTTCTTCTTCGTATAATGGCTCATACACTGTGCAAAATGGGAACGAACATTAGCATTTGATAACTGTTGCAAGTAATTTGAAAGCATGCAAACTATAGGAAAAGTACGCTTTGTTCTTACTTTGAATAAATGGAATCGTTGGTAGTTCATTATACTCGTCATCTTCATCGTCCTCATCACCAATAGTAGGTATTATAATTGTAGGAGAAGAAACTAAAAGAAATATGCACTCACTCATCCACATACATTATAGATACAATGGTTCTACTTTAAAAGGTATATAAAAAAAATAGGTTGGAGGATTATCAGTCAATTGATCTACGATCTGCGATTCGACCCAAAAATTTGATTCTAACAGAGTAATAGTGTATTAACTCTTTATTACCTGCTTCATTCTGTTTCAGTGGTTGTGTGGTGTTTTGTTGTTCCAATACCTGTTTTCTTTGCTCTTTTTTACTTGGTTCTTCGTCTTTTTTCGTAGATTTTGAAGGCTGTTTTCTTGTTCGTTTTTCTTTTCCTTTCTTTTCTTAAATGTGTAGCCAATAATGTTTTTAAATCAATACTATCAACGATTTAAAAAAGTATGTACCTTTTATTGTCAACTTAAAATTTTCTGTTGCTTCTCCCGCTTCGTTCCATGCTTCGCACATCCAATCTCCACTATCTTCAACATATCCATCTGGAATGGTTAATTTTGCTATTTGACCATCATATTCTTGAATAAATTCCTATCCATAACATAGCTTTATATCAATATTCAATAATTTTGTGCATAACAATAACTTACTGTAGACGGTTTTACTTCTTTTTTATTCAAAAACCATGTTATTTCAGGAACTGGTATTCCAGTAATTTTGCATTGTGCTTGAACTTTTTCCCCATCATTAGCAGTCTGCGAAAATATCAAAAATTGTTTAAAACTATTTTCTTAATAAATATACAATATGCTTACAATATCCTTTGGTTTATCCATAAACGTTGGTGCTTTCATTGTAGTTGATTTTTGATCATTCTTAACTTCAGGTCTAAAATAGAGAGGAACAATTAATTCGAACCTCAAATGATGAGCACACAAAAATTATCGGACCTATTGAATGATAGAATGTACCAACAGAAATTATATCCGAACTTTTACTTTTGATGTTTAAGGAAAAAAAAAGAAGTCAGTTTAATATTCATTTTCAATAATCTTTCACTTCAATAGATTCCTTTTTTAAGATTTTCAAGAACGTACTGTTCGTTTGTACAGTTCGTCCTTCAAAAATATTTCAATAATCGAGACAATGCTTTTCATCCATAAAAGAATGAATTCTTTTATGGATGAAAAGCGTTGTCTCATGATTAATTCCTACTTACTGTGCTGACGCATCCACGTTCAAATTAATCAGTGTTTGTGATTCTCCCGCATCATTCATGGCAAATATTTTATACGTTCCCGTGTCGGTTACAGTTGAATTCTATATAGGTAGATGAAACTGTTTAACAAAATACTCTTGTCGTCCTAAATCAAACACATACCAATATTTCGAGTGCAAATACATATGTGTCATCTGATTCTTTTGTTTTAGTCATTTTGTATTTATTTGGTGTTTCTTTAATATCAACTTTATCTTTTTTCCACGTTATTTTTGGTTCTTGTTTCCCTTTACATCGACATTCAATTGTAATTGATTTTTTGGCTGTTGCTATGGTAACTTTTGGTTTTTCAAAAGATGGTGCAAGTTTATCACTTTGTTCAATACTAATTTTATCACCTTCATAATTGAAGATAATTTATTAACAGAATATTGACGGTGAATGTGTATTATACTTACCAACTACTTTTAATACAATATTGGCAGTTGCGGTACCGAGTTCATTTGCTAATGTACATTTATAAATGCCACTATCAGATGCTGTTAAATTCTAAAGACAAATATTTTGACTATTATGCTAATACATATTTTATTCGATAAAAAGCATACCTTAATATCAAGAAATATGCTATAACGATTCGTTCCTTTTCGATCAATTCTTGTTACGATTTTATCAACATTTAATAGTTCTCTGCTATCTTTTGTCCAATATATCGATGGAATTGGTTCGGATTGAATATCGATTTGTACAGTTGCCGATTTGGCGTCTTGTTTAATTGTTGGTTTAGTAATAAATGTTGGTGCAGTACCCTCTGGTAATCTTAAAATAAATAACAATAATCATCATAATTCGTATTTGATAGTATAATCAAATCAGCATACTTGAAATCAATTCCTTCAATATTTAATTGTATATTAGCTGAACCATCGCCTTTTATATTTTTTGCTATAACACGATATTCACCGGAATCTTTTTTAGTATGATTTAATACTTCAAGAAATATTGTATGATTATTTCCTTCTGACAAAATTCTAAAAACAAACTATACACTAGAAAGACATCAATAATATGATTAATCATTAAATTACCCTTGTTTATATTTTGTTCCAATTACAATCGGTTTTCCATTAAGATTCCACGTAAAAGTCGGTACTGGTTCAGCTAGAAAAACGACGAAAAATTTTAAATGAATAGAGAATTAATGGTCATAAACTCAATTATCAACTTACCTGTACAACGACATTCGAGTAGAACAGATTCTTCAAACATACGAATTTGTGGTGCAATAGTGAACGTTGGACGACTACCGCCGCCACCACCACCTTGTTCCTGATCTAGAAAACAAAATATATAATTCGATTCAAATTTTTCAAGTTAAACAGACATCCTATTTCTACTTACTGTCTAAATTTAAACTAATATGTGCATTACTTTCGCCTAATTTATTTTTAGCTGTTATTTTATATTTTCCTGCATCGGCTGAATTGACATCATCTATTTCCAAACATGCAACATAAGCATTATTCGGTAGTGGATCACAATAAATTAAATATCGTCCTATGAAAGAAGAAAACAAAATCAATAATTATTGAACATGAGTATCTCTTTTATATTAATTCCCATACTGTGGTATGTTACCTCTACTTTAGAAAGCCATTACAGTTCAATGAGAGGATGATGAAATTCTCTGAAAATTGTTCATGAGATAACCCGTAACAAGTAGGAATGAGCGGTAACGATAATTTACCGGCGGTAAACATTTTGTGTTTTTTATCGTAAGGCGGTAAAAAAAATAAGCTTTACTGCATTTTCATTTTGAATTTTTGACGTTCTATTATTTATTCATCAGCAAGGGATTGCAAAAATACTATCAATTATTCCTGATGCGAATCTTCAATCAGACGTTTGTTTAGCACTCAAAATTATTATATAATCGTCAAAACATGAAACCACATGCGGTGAAATATTCAATGTTTCTCAGTGAAATACCGTAAAACGAATTAACTAGCTCTAAATAGAAACTATTTCCATATTTTTCATTGATATTAAATTTTTTTATTTCATGAATAAAAATATTAATCACTGTGTAAAAAATATCATACATACACTATCAAACACCGTGTAGTTATTTATTATCAGTAACGATAAAAAATATCTTTTACCAAAGTTTACTGCGGTCAAAATTTGAGAAGTATCAGTAACGGTAACACGTTTTTACCGTTATCTCTCATCCCTAATAGCAGGATCATGAAGTTTCGGCTCTAGATGTATTTTACTTTATTTAATTACTTAAGACAGGATGGCTATGTTGTTCGTCACGTACTTCAAAAGTAGTGTGTTCAAACCTTGGCGCCGGCAAAGTCATGCAATAACCTTGGGCAAGTTACTTATGTCTTGGTGCCTCGGATCATCAACTGATAGCCTACTTACTACGTTGTGACGTACAATAAACTGGCTAGGCTTCGTGGCTTTCAGAAAAGGTAGTACGTGGTTAGTGAGTATGTGCTCAAGTAAGGCAAAAGAACTTTAGACTATCCTTCTGGGCAGAGCTGCAGTTGATGCCTAGTAACAAGATGGATGACCATTTCAGAAGCTTGTCAACTCCAGGAAAGATATCGGGTTAAAGGGACACATTACAAGACCTCTCCAGAATAAGAGACCCTCTAAATAGAAGACCCCTCTTGAGCTCATCTTGTAAAGGTTGAAATAAACGACCCCTCTATTTTTCAGCTTTTTACGTGTAAATTTTGTAAAATTCATAATAAATGTTTTCTAGCTTCCTTTTTTGAACACAATAGAAGACCCGCCTAAAATCTTTATTCTTATGGACAGAATAGAAGACCCGAGTCTTTTATTGTATCATCCCTTTAATGAAACGGCCATTCGGCAGCACCCACACCCACACTCCAGTAACAGTATTCTTCTTCTTCTAATTAGTTAAGTCTACTATATACGTCTCCCACTAGTGAACTTTTTCAACCAAAATTCGTAGTTTTTGAGTCATGTAAAGTATTCTAATCAATCACGTACCAGAATCTTGAATTGGAACATCATCACGAGACCAAGATAAATCTGGTTTAGGATCGGCTGCTATTTTGCATTCAAATACCAGTCGCTTGCCGTCATTTTCTTGTTTAATTATTGGTTTTTGAATAAATGTTGGTGATGTACCTTCAGCTGAACTAAATGAACAAAAAAAAAATGTAAATTTTTAACAAATTAGCTACCTCTCAACTTTCTGTCATAAAATGTCAAAACTTGCTTTTCAACTTGAGCTTGTATTGCATCATCTTCAGCTAATAATAAAAATATATCGATAATTCTTCTGTAAAATTGTTCAACTATGTATTTTACCTGCAAAATTGAGGTCAACATTGGCTGACACTTCTCCTGTTTTATTTTTTACAGTAATTCGATATGTACCGGCATCGGTTTGTCCTAATTGATTTATTTCCAATGATATATCGAAGGTATTTGGTGTTGATGATACTTTTATCACTTGTTTATACTTTGCTGTTGCCGGTAACTTTTTATCATTTTGAAACCATGTTACCTCAGGTTTTGGTGATGCTTGCACTTGACATTCAATAAATAATAAATTACTATCATTTGGCGTTTGCCGAATAGCTGGCGGTGTAGAAAAACGTGGAGCACCAGCCATTCTAGTTGTTTATTCACAAAATATTAATTCTGTTAATTAAGTTTGAACGACGCTAACTACTGCTGTTCAAATTAGATCAATATCATTTTATTCTTGTTCGATATTCATTTAGTGAACAATAGCTCGATTTAATATAAGTTCGTTACCTAAATAATGAAGAGAAATCTCAATGGATCTTTTTGTCACCAAGAACAAAGCAGAGGAAGAAAAACTATTGGTTTGCGAAAGCTGACAATGACTAATGGAGAAAAATATTCTAATATGTACAACTGTCATTCGAACAGAAATGATGTGGTCCGATTTAGAAAGAAAAACAATAAACAAAATTATGCTAATGGTCAGAAGTGTCAAATATGAATTTTCTTTTTGTTTTTCTTTGATTGAGAACGTCATATTGCTTTTTTTATTGCTCATGTAGGGGGTAAAGAATGCTGTCTGTATGTAAACACTGAGGAGCAAATAAAACGAACGTTTTCCAACAATAATTTTTCTGAGATGAATAACAGCTCCCTGTTATTATTTCACATATAAACAAATAAATTTCTGTCGCTATACTTACACAGATGATATAGATATTGGTAAAACAAAATTCTACTTTTTTTTTTTTTTTTTTTGGTAAAAAAGATACTGTATACTATATGAATTCTTTCTCTCTGTCTCTCTATGTATGTGTTTGTGTGTGTATACGAGAAGAAAAGAAAAAAGCGCTAAACAAATTTTTTTATATAGTCAGTTAGTTAGAACATTATCCATTCATTTCCAGAGTATCAAACAATAATATAATAAAGAGATTACAGATAGATTAGATGTAGATGTATAAAGCACCCCAAAGCATCTCTTCGTGTTGTAGAAAAATAACTGATTTTTTTTTTTTTTTTTTGTTTTGTTGTTAACACAAACATATAGAGAGATATTTGCAATGGCGACAAAGAAGTTCTCTATGAAAATGATATCTGTTGCACTTTTATTTTCTTTATTTTTTTGTTCTTTTTCTTTGAAAATGTACAAATATCTATCTCTTTTGGATAATTGTCCATGTAACTATCTATTTACCTCATGTAGAAAATAACAAATATACACACGCACACATATCTTTTATAATCTATCTTCAAATGAATGAGAGAGCAAGTATAAAAAACAATTGACAAGATAACGGCATAGAAAAAAATATTAGACGAAAGTCTAAATGATAATAATAAGAGAAAAAGACTCCATAGTGAAAAACAAGTTTGACAAATAATTATAAAGTTATTTTTTAAAGAATATATTTTTTTTCAATTGCAATATTGATAAAAGTTAGTCAACAATAACAATAGAATAAAGATACATATTACGATCCTCAACAAGATAGTAGTTACCACCGGTGACCGGTCATTTAGTTTCAGGACAATTCGTCTTGGATAAATCGCCCCCGGACATTTCATCTCACGAACACTTTGTCTCATGGACAATTCGTTACATGGACATTTCGTCTGTCAAGGCAACTTGTCTCGGACAATTTGTTCCCAGAAATTTGGTCTCCGGACAATTTGTTTCATGGACAATCCGTCGCCTCTATAAAAATAGGCTAGTCGTCTATAGAAGAGACAATATGTTCGCTTTTATAGAGGCGACGAATTGTCCATGGAACAAACTGTCGCAGCAGAATTGTCCGAGACAAGTTGTCTAAGACGAAATATCCAGAAACGAATTGTCCATGAGACGAAGTGTCCGTGAGACGAAATGTTCGGAGATGATTTGTCCAAGACGAATTGTCTTGAAACGAAATGACCTAGTACCGTTATTACCATGCTCAGATGGAATAGCGAAAATGTTTGAATAATGAAGTAAGAAGTTTAATTGAGGCTTATCATCGGAGAAGATAGTCATATCGTTCTATAATAGAGACGTAGAGAAATTTCTTATTTTCAGACTCCATCGTTTAACTTTGCAGATTATAAATTTTATTTTTTTCGTACGAGAGAACTTTCTGCCTATAGTAGAAGAATGAAAAAAAATGGTAGAACGGATGTTGTGAATCTATCTTAAGAAAAAGCACTGTCACAACGGTTGAACTTTTTTTACTATGATCATGGACATCAGAACGGTATCAGACGTTCATGCAGGTTCGATACTGAACGTTTATAACATTTAGTTTCTGGACTTTGACATATCCAGACGCTCCCAACTTATGAAAGGTTAGAATCTCGTCTTCTTTTTTTTTATCAGCATATGAAACAGAAATTTAACTAATACAAGGATCAATGCGAGAATTTGTCGCAGTCGTTTTTATTTCTCATTTTATTCGTACTTTTAAAGAAAACTCAATTATCAGCTGTTTCATCATTGACAACTAAGACGTTTTAAAAATACATTCAAAGAAAAATATTCGAGTTATCTAAACAGTAACTAGCATCCAAAACTTAATGGAAACAGTATATATTTGTATATATTATTATTATATTATATTATTATATTTTGTATATATTTATTAAGTAATATTTCATACACTTGTCATCAAGTTTAAACAATACCTGTCAACGGATGTTGATGATGTTTAAATTAAAATTGACAAATGTAACAGTTTATCTTCGTTTCTCAAAATACTTTCTACGCGACAGTCAATAAGTAAAAGTGTTGTTACGAGAAAAATTGTAAATTGAAAATGATTCTTGATGAGAAGTTTCAATAATTGATTGTATGATAATTAAGATAATGCAGATTCTGCATTGCAGAATACCTAATTTTATTGGAAATAACTAATAAACCATTAACCGAACCATTAACTGATCAGCCGGTGGATCACGTAAAATGTTTACACATTTGCTTGACAAAGCTGAAATATGCGAGATATAATAAATTTCAAAATTTCATTATCCATTATTGATGACGAGTTCTTCACTATTAGAATAAAATCTTCATAATTATTATTCAAATTGAACTGAAGATCTATCTTGATTATCTCGTAGTTTAAAAAACCAAATATTTTCCATCATTTTATGTTGGAGATGTGCACAGGTACCATTTTTGTACCCGTACCTGACCCGAGAATGTTTGTTCCACCCGTATCCGACTCGTATCCGATTTATGCCTAAAAATTTTCTCCTTTTTGTTTTCTAGCTAAAAACTTTTGTTTTTCGGCTGAAGATGTCAAATTATCATTACATTCTCAAGTAATTCTTTTTTAAATCTTCATGTATTTTAGCTAAACTTCTGTATTTTTTTACTAAAATTTTGTGGATTTTCCACTAAAACCTTCTGGTTTTCGGGTAAATTAAAACAAATAGAATCCGTATCCGTAACTGCTTTACCCGTACCATACTCGAGCTAATTCTGTTATTATAGAATAATCAGTTTTCATAAATTCTGAATAGAACTTTATAATAACAGATCGTTTTATTTACAATTATTGTAAGTTTTTTTCAACTTTGTTGAATAATTTAACCTTGATTTTTAGTATATTTATTGACCTCTTTTAACCAATATATTAGACCAATGGAATCTAAAGTTCATGAGTTGAAGGAAGCAAAGGACAGATACACTTGTCATTAATTATTTTCTTCTCTTCTTTCTTTTTTGTCTGCTATTTCTGACTACGTAGCATTAGCAATCTTTCCAGTGGAAACATTCTATGTACGATACAATGTCAACGCATCTACCCGAAGATATATCGAATGCTAAACATATTATGATAAGAATGTTCGGAACCATCTTAGAAAAATGTAACAAAAGACACATTTTACGATGAAGGAGATCAATCAACTTTTTCTAATTTTCTAAAAAAAATAAAACTCGACATTATAGTGTAAAAATATTTAGAAAATATCAAAATTCCATGATAATATGTGTATAATGAGAATATGTCGTCTATAATATATGCGTGTGATTTCTCTATTGATAACTGTAATAAGAAAAAAAGTAGACTCTTGTGTTTAAACCTCAAACAGACAAAAGGAAAAATAGTTTTCATAGATAATACACAAGTGAAAAATTAAAATATCAAAATGAGTTATCTTTGTATTGATTAATTATTTCCCAAAGCGAAGACATGCGTCAATTGGATTAAAAAATAAAAAATATAGACCATTAAATAATAATCATATAAAACAACTTGACCCTCTAAACATAGTTTTGAGTATTATGAAAGGTCAGAGTGCAAAAGAAAAAAAAGATCGTCTAGAAACGTTCAATGAAGAAAAAGATTATTATCAGTTAACGTATCGCGCAAAAATAATGAAAAGTTACTGTAAAATCACACAAAACCATACCTTTAAGTCAAATAAATATTATTCGATCACACTCGATAACTTCTACTAAAAAAAAAATATATATATAAATAATTGAACAAATTAATCAAATTATTTGTGATATATTTACAAGAGTATAAAGAATTCAATTAAATCCAAGATGATGAACACTAAGGTATATTATTAATACGAAACTAATCGCATGATGATATGTTTTTTATGCAGGTATACTACTTTAAGATCTATAATCTTTTCTATAAATGTTTGCTAAGCGGTGTCTCAAAGAAAAGAGAACATCCAAGAAGAAGAAGAAGAATTGAGAGAAAGAGCTTAATGTATGTATAGAAAAATCGTTTATCGTTGTCTCTCTTATCCACAAGGATATTTTGCAAACACATATAGTTACACACGCGATCTATTATGTCTCAATGTAATTTAGTGACAATAACGTAATCAACAACAACAGTAGTAGAAAAAAGGAAAGAAAAAAGCATAATATATATTAAAAAACCTGTACAACCACAAAGTTCTGAGACGACAAAAAGAAAAAAAAAAAAAAACACAATAGAAAAGAAAAAAGCATTTATCTTTCTTTCTCACATGGTCGACAATTATACAACTCTTCAATATCGTACAAAAAATGATCATCTTTTCTTTTCGGAAACACACTAGAATAATGAATGATAATAAAAGGAAAAAAAATAAAACAAAAAAACAAAACAAAATAATGAATAATATCATGGAACTGTAGAAAAATGCAAGGCACATAAAATA